TGCTCCCTCCTGGGCTTTTGGCTCCAAGGTGATGCCTCCTTGGTGGTGAGTGTGAGGTGTTCAGTGACCAGTATCCCCCTGCTAGTGTCATTTGCAGGCAGCTATACCAGTGTGGCCCAGGGCTGGCTGTGTGCCCACCTGCACCTCTAGGGCAAAGCTGAGGCACATGGTTGGGGAGCAAGGACATTCACTCTGTTACTGCCTGGGCTGGACCTGCTCTGGGCACATGGAAGCTACCAGGCCCCATCCTGCTCCCAGCACCAATCCCCAGCCTGAGCACCCCTTGAACAGTTGTTTGGAGGAGAGGCTGTGCTCTTGAGGAGTAGCGGGCAGGATGTTCGGGGAACCTCTCTCCTCCCCCCACCCCTGCACAAAGAGCCCTTTGTGCCAGCGAGCCTGGAATTCCTGCGGCCGTGAGCCCGGGGCAGAGCGAGACCCACATCTAATGAGGAAGGCGAGGCCAGAGGGTCCACCTGCTATGGGCAGCAGCAGCTGGTCAGGACAGGTGGGCATGGGCTGCAACCCCCACCCCTCTGCATGCTCTTGCTTCTGACAGGCTGGGCAGGGGGGCAGAATGGACGTGAGCAGCTGGCAGGAGAAATGAATGAGAGAGAGAGATGGACCCCACAGGGTGGTCACTTCCTGGGGGTAGGTTGGATTCCAGAGCTAGGCCTGACCCAGGGCCGGGGAAGCTGCTAGAGCTAGGGCTAGAGCATCTCAGGGGTCTTGCCAGAGATTTGGCACAGAATTGGGGAAGGCTTAATGCTTTTGAGGCTGGGCCAGTGCTCAGCTTGGCTTTGGGCAAGGGGAACCCAGGGAGGGGGTCGCTGGCAGGGAAACCCTTCTGGCTTCCAGAAATGGTGGTCTCCTTCTCTATGACCTGGGAAGCATGGACAGTGGGAGGTGGTGGTTCAAAAGCATTCTGCTACCCAGAGGTATCATGACCTGAGGGAGGCCCCTAACTCTTCCCTTCATCATCTAATGCCAGTGCAAACCCCATTAGTAACCACTGCTTCCTGCCCCAGACCACACCCTCACTGGGGCCTATAAGACTCGTGCCACATCCACAGACCAGGGAAAAGGATCTCCAAGGCTCCTAGGTGGGGAGGAAGCCAGTGTGGGCCCAGGCACTGGAAGGGTTGGGATGGATGGAACAGGCCCTTCCAGCTCCAGCTGCTCCTTGACCTGGATCAAAGATCATCTCACTTTCCTGAGGAGGTGCAGGTGTCCCTTAGTGAGAGTCCTGCCCAGTAGCATCACTAGGACCAAAGGCTGGAGAGGTGCTACCTGCCTATGCCCTGATGGCTGAGAAGCTCTGCCCCATCCCACTATCTTACCACCCTCCTTCCTTTCCAAAGCACCTCTTGCAGGCAGATGTCAGACCAGGATGGGCAGGGGCTGTTGTGTGTGCTATACCAGAGTCAACATGAATGCATCCTCCAGAGTTGGCTAAGGGAGCCCTAGGCCTGGGGCCTGCATGACAGGACTCACAGGCTGTTCCTTCTGTCCTAGCACTGCTAATGGGGCAGGTGGGTGTGCAGCTCAGCTCAACTTCCCCATCAGCCTCTTTCAAAATGAGGGTGTGTGAGCGCTGCACTGTCAGACAGAGACAGCAGCATTCCCCCTCCCTGCCCCTCATATGCTGGGCTGGGTGGTCGTGGCAGCTGACAGGGGGCAGGGAAGGAGGCTGCCCAGAGGGTGGGGTTGGTCAAGCTAAGCCTTGGCACCTGTCACCCCAATGGCAGAAGGTGTCCCACAATTGGGGCCTTTGTGTCTGTGATGAGTCCCCACAGCTGGAAGAGCAACCAAAGCTGCTCCTGCTTTTGAGCCTTTTATACTTGTCAGCTGGCTGCTGCTGCTCCAGCCCCCTATGGTCCCCCCTTCTCAAGGGGGCTCAGCTGCTGAGGCCTAGTTGACCTCCTGCACAACAAAGTGTGGCAGGTGTGTGTGGAGGATGCAGGGAGAGAGTGAGGTGGGGGCCTGGGCCTACAGGCATGCACTGTCTCCCACATGGGCACATGCACACACACATGCAGGTTAGGTCAGCTTGCTCATCTTGTGGCTGCAGGCCAAGCAAAGGGACTTGGCCAGGAGAAGCTGCAATGTCTCCCTGCAGAGAGCAGGAACAGAGGTGGCTCTGGAAGGATGCTTGCTCTTCTTTACTGGAGATCCTGGAGTCATCTGGCCAGAGCTGTAGCCTCTTCCACAA